TACATTTTTCGATCTTTTTCGTCGCGCTGTGATGACGTCACATATGCGCTTTCGTCGACTGCGCTTTTGTCTACCGCGGTTTTGTGGTGGAACCTTGGGCCACCACAGGCACTCCCGACACAAGTGACATCAGGCTGGCCATGCCCCCCCAGAGGTCAAACACAACCTTGATGCTGTCCTCAATGAAATTGAGTTTGACACCCCTGAACTAGACTATTTATAAAAAATTATATGTCATAGAACGATATGTTAAAGGTGCCCATGGTGATTCTGTCTGACATGGAGATTCTGTGGGACAGGTCTCTCCACGTCTTCCGAACTTGCACTACCTCTTTGACTTTTTCTATGCTGTGTCTGGTGTCAGCTTTGATGGAGAAAGATGCCCATAGTTAAATGCACTAATAGCATTAGTTATGTACAGAAAGGGAGAAAATAATTGAATGGCTCGATACAGTAATAATTGAATACTTGAGATACAGTAACATTTTTAATGATAAAAAAGAAACCTATACCAGTAAACCAGTGGTGGGATATGACCAGTACGTCCTGCTACGGGTCTACTGGTGCCCACCTGCCTGCCTGTCCTCCTTACTGGTATTTGAGCCAATTGTGGCTTCCGCACATGGAGCGTACAGCACCTGTGTGACGCTCCACCGAGCAGCTTGAGCATTGCGGAGCATCGCAGGCGGTAAGTACGCATGCGCGCGCTGTGTGTGTGCTGCGTGCATGCATGTGCTGGACGCCCGGCCCCGTTGCACTGTACCAGTTGCAACAGGATCCAGAACCCACCATTGCAGTAAACATCAGAGCCTGGAACTGATGGGATGTGCACCAGTGTTTGTAAATCTAGCCCAGCATTTCAATTTCTCTCACTGTGATTCTCCAGTTGGCATTGCTTGCTGTTCAAGAAGCATTAACAAAGCTCATTATAGAAAGAAAATAGAGCTTATTTTGTTCCATTAAGTACTTAAGCAAACAATACTGATTTTAAAAAAATGTAGCCAGTATGTTTGGCTGACAATGAAAGGTTCCTGGAAGAAAGACAAAGAGGTACAGCTGGCTAGTTATAGGAAAGGAACAACAAAACAGAATATGAAATATAGGCACAAAATACTGTTAATTTTTCCCCATCTTTCCTTGTGTTGTGAGCATTTAGTATCTCAGTTAAGTAAAACACATGTCTCTCCTATTTGCAGATCCTTAGGTTTAAAGAGGAAATTAATTTGTTCCCTTTTTCAGGACCTTTATCAATTAGGGAGATTTTTTCTTTTCAGTGGCAATGACTTGGTGTGAATTTAAATGATGATAGCCTGAGAGCTTTTTTTTTAATCTGATTTTTAAATAGCTGCATTGCTGATATTGGTTGAAACTGTGTTGTGACTTTTGTTTTTTTCTTGCATAATTTTGCTTAGGTATAAGTGCACATTAAATAAAAATATTCCGCCTCCTTCTCTCTATTAGCAGTTAATTTGGATCGTCTAAATTTGCTAGAATGTAAATAAAATTGTACAGCACCAACTTATCAGAAAAGCAGAATTTTTTAAAAAAGGAAGTGAGACCATTGCTAAGGAGCGTCTTAGCTATTTTTATTTACTTTTATATTGTGTTGTAAACCAAACAAAGCTTTGGAATTCTTTTAATGGTAGGAAAATGAAATAGCTTTTAAAAATAGATATGTATAAAGCAATACTTTTCATTGTTGCTTCCCAACAGACCTTCACAATTGCCAGCTATGTCGTCTCCTGCCTTTGGTGATAGGACATGAAAAAGACAAATAATTTTCACACATAGTATACCCATCTCCATATATTATGGATATGTAATAAATAATACAGATTCGAGTTGTATTCTGTGTTATCAACTCTTTGCTTTATTTTTCTGTAAATGTAAAAAAAAACACAGTTTGAGTTTCAAAGGTGATACAGGTAATCCTCAATTTATAACCGGTAAATTAGCAATCATTTGAAATTATGACATAGTTCCAAAGTTTTGATAGCTGCCTTCCCCCTCAACCAAGTGATCATGTTTTTGGGCACTCAACAAGCAGACCACATTTATGACTGTTTGCAATGTCCCACAGCCACATAACTATGATCTATGATGATTTTTGCTGAAAATTGGTATTTATTTGTGTGTTTTGGCAAAATTATCCCATAGCAACAATGGGTTCGCTTAACAACTGCATTTGCTTAGCAACTGCCACCAAAAAAGTTATAAAATTGGATTGGTCACATGATAATCCAATGTTGCAACTTATGACCATAATGGGCAGGCTCTATCACAGTTGTAGGTTGAGGACTACCTCTACTGTACTTGACAGTAGAAAAGGGCAAAGGAAAGGAACACCAGATAAAGGACACAGTTGGAATGGAAACATTAGAAGCAAAATAAACAGCAGAAACTTTTCTTGTGGCAGCAACCACAGAACTTTCTCATTGATCAAAACTGTTTAAGACTATGAGAGATAATATCTCCTTTGAATAACACAGCTCCAGTTGCGACTCATCACATTTTCTATCTGAATACATACTTGTGACTACATACTTGCTAATTGAATATCCTTAACCTTCATGAGCCTATCTTCTAAGTTTCGTATGGCAGATTATTATTACATAGTACTGAAAAAGGTTTCACAAATGTCTGCACACGTTTTCACAAAAGAAAAGAAAAAAGCTGTTAAGAGCATAGAAAAAAGCATATTAATGCCTATGGGGTAGTTTTAATCCCCAGACATAAGGCAAGTTCAGATTTTTGAATTTTCCCATCCTTGTTCACATCACAATGATGAAGCAGGATCTCTCGGAATTTATCCAGATCTGTACCCGTAATGCTGGGCTATAACAATGAGAGAGAGAGAAAGAGAGAGGAAGAGAAAGAGAAAGAGAAAGAAAGAGATTAAAGCGCATTTTGGAAAACAAAATAGTCATTTTTAGCATTAAGCCCATCTACTTTATTGATTTGATTCGATTAAGGTGGCGCAGTGGTTAAATGCAGCACTGCAGGTTACTGCTAGATCAGCAGGTCAGCGGTTCAAATCTCACCNCAGTGCTGTGTGTGAGGTAATTTAAGGTGGTTCTAACAAGTATTGTCGGCATCTTCATATCCGGTCACATGGGCGGCAAGCCACACCCCTCCAGTCACATGGGCGGCAAGCCACTCCCACAAAGGAGGCCACACCCACAGAGTAGGTTTGAACAATTTTTGAAGCCCACCACTGGTACAGAGGTGTCAAAGTCATGTCGTCATGACAGCGTCACATGATGTATTGGGACATTAATTTCCCCTTTGCTAACCTGGGTGTGGGTGTGGCCAGCACATGACCCATGCGGCCTGCAGGCTGGCAGTTTGACAGCCCTGGGTTAGTAGAACCACCATTCTGCCCCACTGCAAACTGAGAAAGTCTGGCAAGCTAAGAATAGCTATTTAATGGTTTAAAATCTTTTATCATGAAAAAGAGAGCCTCGATCTTCCCTCCCATCCCCAACTGAACAATGCCATGTGGTGTCCTCTGAACCACAAGTAAAATGTTTCATAAAAGGCTGCCAGTTTAAATACCACAGCAGAAATAGAAAGGAAATAACTGGTTGCTGCTGTTTAATTCTTTTCTATTTGCAGCATTATTAGGTGTCCCTTGGCTACAGTGGAGAGAGGTTAAAAATGAGATTTAATTAGATGATTTTTCAGTTCTTTTCTATATGTATAAAATACAATGATCTCAGTCCCACAGATAAACACAACCTTCTGTCATCTTTGGAGTCACCAAAATAGCCTGTGACCTGGTCTCCTATCTAGCAACCAGATTTCTTTCAGAATTTTTTTCTTGGATGTGTTCTTGAAATCTTCTCCAACTAGGCATTCTTCATATGCATTGAACTACAGCTTCTATCATTCCCAGCCAGGTTGTCATTACAAGTAATCCTCTTTTTTAAAAAAAAATAGTTTTTATTAAACATTATTACTTTTAAAAACAGAAAGAAACACAACAACATAAGAAAAGACAAAACATACATAACAATATAAAGTAA